TTTTTTTTTTTTTTTTTGTACTGGCATCCCCAGGCTTTAGCACAGGGCCACACACATAGAGTTGACTTCATCAGTCATTCTCTAGAGGCCCTGAGTAGCATAAATTCTCCATGAGTTAGAGGAGACCAAATCCTAGACTGTAGCAAGGTGCCCCCCACAACCCATCCATCCATTCATTTGGCAAATATTTACTTTGCTGGGCACAGGGTTGGGCATTGGGAATGTAGTGCTAAACAAAACAGTCAAGGTTTTTGTCCTCATGCAGTTGACAGTCGGCTAAAGATGGAGAGAACTGGCTATGAATAAAGAGATACAACTGGCACTTTATTGCTTGGCATGCCTGAGTGGGTGGCAGGTATATATAATGGGAGTAGCACCGGGAAAGGACAGCCATATTTGGAAGGGGGCACCAAGAATGATCTACTTTCTATTCCAGAATAAAAAGGATGTAACTATAGAGAACACCAGTTTTTGCCTTTCCAACATCCATTCCCCCTCTGTTAGAAGCACTTCAGTTTTCTCCCGGTGGGAAAGCCATGTCTCTCCCACTCTCAGCCCAGAAGGTTGGGTGAGGATGAATCTATCTCCTACCCATCCTTACAGCTCCCAGGGTAGGCAAGTGACCCAGAGCTTTCTAGACAGTATAACTCAATCCTCTTGGCCACAGTGATTGGTTCAGAGATTGTCACATGACTTAGGCCAATGAAAACATTCTAGGGCTTTTGTAGGAAATACTGGGAAAAGAAAAACTCACTTTCTTTAGGATTACTAGTAGTAAACACAGTGTAAACCTGGAGTTCCCTGGGCCACAGTGTGAGGAAAGCCAAAACGGAGGAAAGAATAACTGGAGGGTGGGTGTGCGATGGAGGTGGGAAGAGACAGAATGAAAGGGAGAGAATCTTAATGACATCATTTTAATTTGAAGCCTGGATCAAGTCTTTCCTGAAGCTAGTACTTTTGGACTCTTCATTTATAGGAATAAGAAAATAACATTTTCTTTTTTCCAGAAGCCAGTTTAAGTTGTATTTCTGGCATTTGCATTAAAAAAAAAAATCTTATTTACAACAAATGCCTACTATCTGCTAGACCATTTACTTTTAGAACATCCTAAATCCCATGCTTTCTGGGCAACATTCTAAGAATAAGAGGACTACATGATTTTGAAACTTTAAGGATCAAAGTCTTTTATTTCTCTCTTATGACACTCTTAACTTTCTATCTTGAATTATATCTCTCTATGCACATGTCTTATCTCTTTGATTAGATTACAAGAGGCTTGGGACCTGCTCCATATCTGGGTCTGCTTGTATTTTTTTAGCACAGTCTCTTGTGCATAGTTACATGTAAAATAAATAGTATGCGTGTCTACGCACACATTATTGACTACTATAAGCCAGGCATGGGGCTCACTTTGCAATTGCTGTACAAGTATCATCTCATTTAATTCTCATAACAGTCCCGTGAGGTAGGGGCAACTATTAGCCTCATTTTACAAATAAGGAAACTGAAGCTCAGAGAGGTCAAGCCATTTGCTCAAGGTCACACAGCAAGGAAATGTTAGAGTCAAATTTGAATCCAGGTCTCTCTATTCTTCTGCTGAAATGCACCAATCCCTGTGGTTTCTGAGATTTAACATCAAGTTCTGCCTTCTGGGCCTGACGTTGTGTGTTAAAGAGAAGAATCAATTCAGGGGATCAACAAATCTGTGTGCCACTGTGACCACTTAATTTAAGAAAACTTCTCTTCCCTCCCTCCCTCCCTCCCTCCCTCCCTCTTTTGCCCTCTTTACCCTCCCCTTCCCTTCCCCTTTCTTCCCTTTTCCTTTCTTCCCCCTCTTCTTACCACCTTGCCATACTTAATCACTCAGTATGGACACTGCCCAATCAGAATGAGGTCTGCGGTAGTGCTGGAGGAGGGCTCCAGAGGTCTTCAGCCAGGGGTCCAGGGGCAGCCAAGGGTGCTCAGGGTAGTAGTTGTTTACCAGCCAGTACAGAATTATTGCAATATTTTAACAATTAGCATGGGCCCCACAGAGACCACTGGTGTGCCTGGGACAGAGGGTCACCAAGTCAGTAGGACCCAGGACTTTTCAAGACTTTTTATCTGATCACTGGTCAGGGCCACCACATCTCTCCCAACCTTGCAGCTCACCGGGGGGGCTCTTTCGCTGCCTCGATGGGACACCAGGCGGAGACTTCACAGGTCTTCAGCTTCCCTTTATACTCTACACACCTTCCGGTCTGGATCCCTGGGTGGGGTGGGGTGGGGTGGGGCCAAGGGGCCAAAAAAGCAAAGTGTGAAAACTGTAGGCACATCTTGAACTCAACCCAAGCAAGAGACTATTTATTTATGCTTTTCAGCCGAAGCAGTTTTAACTTCCACAAAACCTCATTTGAACCACAAACTTACATAAGGAAACCTAAGCAGAGAACACATCGGACGGTAAGCTTTTTTAAAAAAAGATTTGGAGAGAACACAGAGAGACCATGGATAGCTGTTGGCTCTTTTGGTTTCTTTGCCAGAAAAGATGCTGAGAAAGGAGCCGAACAGGGCATGTTCTCTCGCCTGGCATGAATGGACTAGAACCTGGCTTTTAAGTGGGCATCTGAGCCACTTAGGGGTGTACAGCCCGGACCAGGGATGTGCATAAGCCACAGAATGAGCACGGCACATCTTTCTGGAGCATCAGAGCCACTCGCAGATTCCGAGGGGGAAAGTTAAATAGTAAGTAATGTCTGAATGATCTCTATACCAACTCAGACAGACATATATATCTAAAGGAACAGAGTGTGACATCCATAGGCCTTTTTTTTTGTATGTGTATATGTTATAACATATAAAGATATGTTCTTTTTTGTGGTCATTTTTTAATTGTCATGTGCCTCTTTAAGTTCAAGTAAGAGATAGAGAAATTCTGATGGTTAATGGTGGTACCGGTCCCCAGGTGCCCTGAGGGTACAATTCATATTCCTCAACCTCCAGGGAAAATTCAAAGGGGAAAGTTCAGCATACACAGAAGGTACTATGGGCCATTCAGTTTTCCTGTCAGTGAGAACCCTGAAGATGCTAATTCTGGAGGTTTTCAGGAGCTGCCCTCCCTGGGGAATTAGATCACATTCCTAGTCCTCTGGGGACAGAGCAGAGGCATGGGGGCAGACACAGGCTCCCCCAGGGCCTGGTGAGGGTGGAAGAAGGCATCTGAGAGCCAGAGTCTAAAGATTTGAACTTTAGGGCATTTGTGAATGTCACCAAGATACCAGACCACCCCCAACCCCCAGGATCCCAGAGAAGAAACATAACATACCTTTGCTCTGCGGGTCCACCCGTCCCTTTTTACAGCCCAAGTCAGAGGAACAGAGCGTCCTGCGGGTGGGAAACTGCAGGGAGAAGGATGGGATAGTGGGGAGTAAGCAACGCGGGTCTCTAAGATACAGAAAAGCAGGTGCCTGTGCCTGCACCAAAAACTTATACACAAATGTTCACAACAGCCAAAAAGTAGAAACAACCCAAGTATTCATGAGCTGATACGTGGACAAATACAGTGTAGTGTATTCATACAATAGACTATGACTCAGTCATAAAAAGGAAGGAAACACACCTGCTACAATATGGATGAACCTCAAAAACATGATGCTCAGTGAACGAAACCAGACCCAAAAGGCCACATACTGTGCGATCTCAATGATATGAAATACCCAGAACAGACAAATCCACAGAGACAGAAAGTGGATCAGTGGTTGCCAAAGGCTGAGGGAAGTGGGGAGTGGGGCATGACAGCTGACGGGTACAGGACTTATTTTGGGGAACATTTGGAAAATGTTCCAGAATTAGGTAGTGTTATGGTTGTACAACATTGTGAAAATACTAAAAACCACTCATTTCTACACTTTAAAATGGTGGACTTTATGGTATATGAGTTATATGTCAACAAAACATAAAAATAAATAAAGATCCAAAAGGTAGATGTAACCAGGTACCACTTTCAGGGAAGGCCCTTGGGGTAGGGGGGAGGGGGCCTGGTCCAAGCACCTCTGTGGCTGCAGAACTGGGCCAAGAGACAAGCTCAAAGGCTCAGCAGGATATGGGAAGTAAGGGGTGCCAGCCAACACTTTCCCCTGGCCTCAGAAAATGAGGTCAGCCCCGTCTTAGGCCTGAGGACAGAAGAAGAAAAAGAAATGAGATGACTGGTTTATGCACATTTGACTTCCGCTTTTCTGGGGAGGAGGTTTAACGGCCAGTCTTAGGAGAACCAGAGCCTGACCTTAGGGTGGGGGGTGGAGGATAGCATCAGCAGTTCATTATCTTCCTCTGACCTGTGCCCCCTCCAGCGACTCTTATTACCTGCCAACCACTCTGGTCCCCTCCTTACCTCAGGACATAACCCCTGCTGTTGGCCTTCTGTCTTGAGGAAGTTTGTCATCACGAAGAAGGAGTTTCCCTATAGAGAAAGGAGAGAGTAGGCAAATGCCAGACGTTGGAGGGCAGAACTACTTAATCAGAATAATCTAGCCTGCCTAGTGCCTGGGGGCGAACCTTCCACCTTTCTAAACCACACTCTGGAAATCAGGTCTGGGAGCAAATCAGGTCTGGGAGCAACGTGGACTGCGCTCGAGGGCTTAATATCAAAGCTGACGAGCCACCCCACTGAGCCGAGGGAAAGCAAAGGGACATTCTAACTGACTGAGTATTCATTTTCCGTTCCAGCCTCAAAAGCAGCCTTGTCATTTTTTGGATGCAGTAAAATCCCATTAAATCGAAACTTAAGAGAACCCGGGGCGGGGTGAGAGGGGTGCAGTGTTGGCTTCATCAGAATGCTGTTCAGATTATCCAGGATTTTAATTAAAGGGCAGACGACATCCTGCAACCCGGGTAATAGCTGGAGATCTTACTGACCCACTGTTAGAAACCGACAGACAGTGACTTGGGTTTCATGGTTTTGCTGAGCACCCCAGCTCCCAGAGGCTGCAAAAGTGCCCTTTTGTCCCTCAGGCACCCCCACCCCCATCTGTTCTTTGGTTTTCTCATTCCTACTTTGATTTCTCCTTTTTGACTGTTCTGCTTTTATTTATCTTCTTGCAAATATAGACAGTCACATAGTCTTTCTCTGTGATGCACACCCTTCCTTTCTTTGTCATCTATATCCTTCCTTTGTGCAAAAATGTATTTGAGAAAATGTTTTCCTGGAGACATTTTTGTTGATAAAACGCCACACAAACCACATAAAAGGGCTAGTCCTGTCCAGGCAGGAAGTTCTTTGTCCTTCTGAATCTAGACAGACCTTGCTGACTTGATGGCCCTGCTTCCAAAAAGCTGTGCATAAATCAAGCGTGAGTGAATCAAATCGTGCTTTAAATGCACCACCAGGACACGCTGCTATTCTGAGAAACCCTGTAGGACTTGATAAAGCAAAGAATCGTCTTTGAGCTGCTGGATCTGACCCAATTTTGCAATTTTTAGGTTTTCTCAGTTGGGATTTTCACAGAGCTTTTTAAAATAGGGCCAGCATTTTTCTGCAGTGAGGCTCTGGGTCCCAAGGGAGGGAGGCAAGGCCCTGGGGACAGTGCCCAGGGAGGAGTCCTGGGAGGGGGTGGCTGGCAAGTGCTCACCTGCAAAGGGAAGGTGTAATCCGCCGTGTCAAAGACACTGGACACCACCTTCTTCATCCCGTTCTCCAAAATCTCCTCTTTCACCTCTGCTATCCCTTTTACCTTGGTGTGCACAGAACTGATAACAGGCTCTTTCCGCTGGTACAGCTTGTCACTCACCAAAGCAAAGCTAAGTGGCAGACACAGAAAAGCATCAGTGGTTTTCTCAAGGGAGGCACAGTGCGGGGACTTGGGGGGCAGGTTCTGAAGGCTGCCTCCATTCAAATCCTAGCTTTGCTGGGTGACTTTGGGCAAGCTACTTGTCTTCTCTGTGACTCATTTTCCTTATCTGTAAAGTGGGAAGAATAGTCATACCTACTTTAGGGGTTGTTGTGAGGATGAAATGAGATACGTGTGCAAACTCCTCAGCATCATATGCTGAGTGCACACTGAGCACTCACTATCTGGAAACTACTGCCCCTGATGTCAACCTCCAATACTGCCTAATACAGACTCTAATTTATAGGACAGCTTCTTAAATAACAAAGTCCAGCTTCAGATTGGTCCACTTGCTTTGTCCTGGGGCGAAGCAACACATCAACACCTAAGGAAGTACCCAGCAGGTCAGCCACCTGTTTTCCAGAAACACCCACCTGGTTTATAAATAATATTGATAATAGTAACCGCCCTTTATTGAGCAATTAGTACATGCCAAGTGTTCCATATGCATCATCTGTTTAATCTTCACAGTGATAGGAGATAGTTACTATAATCATCCCTTTTGTAGATGAGAGAATGGGCTCAGAGAGGTAAAGGAATGCGCCCAAGATAACAGATCGTCAGTGGCAATACTGAGGTCCTCAACTGGTCTACCTTCTAGCCCAGAGCCAGACCTCTTAACCCTGTGCTACACGTGTTCATGCATGATGTGGCTCTGACTCTGGTTTCCTGCCTTTGGTCAGTTCATTACCTGTTAATCCTTTCTTTAGAATATCAATTTAAATTATTATAAGTGTGAGGAAGAGAAGGAGAAAGTGGAATTAACAACAATGGTAGGGGCGCCTGCATGGCTCAGTCAGTTGAGCATCCAACTCTTGATTGAGGCTCAGGTCATGATCTTACAGTTGTGAAATCGAGCCCCATGTCAGCCTTTGCGCTGGGTGTGGAGCCTGCTTAAGATTCTCTCTCTCTCCTTCTCCCTCTCTCTCTCAAAAGAAGAAGAAGAAGAAGAAGAAGAAGAAGAAGAAGAAGAAGAAGAAGAAGAATTCAAAATGGTAGATTCCACCACCGTTTGTTTTTCCTCTCTCCCATTGCCCTGAATAATTCCGACTTTATTTTAAATGCTTTGTTTATTCATTCAGCATGTGTTTATTTGGTCTCTTCCCTCTGGCCAGCACCTAATATTCAAATGATTTAGGAAGTGTAAGCCAGTGGCTGCCTTCTATGACCTGGCCTTATGAAACCAAGACAGAGTGGGCCATGACTTGGTCGCTGCTGTTCCTAGCCTTGGCTGGGTAGTATAATCCCCAGAGAGCTTTCAAAATTGCTGCTCCCCAGTTTCATCCCTGGAAATTCTGCTTCAGTAGGTCTGGGGGAGTTATCCAGGTACTTATATATATTTTTAAAGTTTGCTGGGTGATTCTAATGCACAGCCAGGGTTGAGAACCCTGGGAGACTATTGAAAAGACAGCTAACATTTGGCAATATGTAGTGCATTCGAGGAAGTGCATCTCCTAGGACCCGGCAATTCCACGCTTTTGTACACTCCCTAGAGAAATCCTCATACATGTGCCCAAAGAGTTAGGTACAAGACTGTTTATGGCAGCATCATTTGTAAGAGGGAAAATAAAATACCCTAAATGTCCTTAAATATTTAATGGGTAAATGAATTGTTGGATTCATACAATAGGATGCTCTAGTGAGAATAAATGGAGAGCTACTCATATCAATATGGAAATAATATAATATTGAGAAAACAAAACATGCCACAGTATGAATACAAAATTTAAAGAAATCCAAAACAACATTTTACACTCAAATGCCTGTCTACGCATGCCCATAGCAGCACTATTCATAAAAGACAAAAGATGGAAATAGCTCACATGTTCATCAGTAGATGAATGGATAAACAAAACATGGTCTACCCATACAATGAAGTACTATTCAGCCATAAAAAGGAATGAGGGGCACCTGGGTGGCTTAGTCAGTTAAGCATCTGACTCTTAATTTTGGCTCAGGTCTGATTTCATGGTCATGAGATTGAGCCTTGCATCTAGCTCTGTGCGGGGCATGGAGCCTGCTTAAGATTCCTTCTCCCTCTGTCCCTTCCATGACTGCACATGCGTTTCTTCCCTCAAAAAAAAAAAAAAAAAAAAAAAAGGAATGAAGCACTGAGACGTGCTATATTGTGGAGGAACCTTGAAAACATGCTTTATAAAAGAAGGTAGATAAGAAGGTCACATATTGTATGATTCTATTTATATGAAACAATCCAGAATAGGTAAATCCATAGAGACAGAGAGTATATTGATGAGTGCAAGGGGGTGGGGAGCAGGGGTGACTTCAAATGCGTGTGGTTTTCTTCTAGAGTGGTGAAAATGTTTGGGACCTAGGTTGTGTAAACACAATATGGTGTGTTATTAAATGCCACTGGCTTCATCACCTTAAAATGGTTATTTTATGTTATATGAGTCTCACCTCAATAAAAAAAGGAAAATATTTTTGTAGATATACACAAATGTTGTAGAACTATAAAAACATAGAATGACAAACACCAAGTTCAGGATGGTGTTTATAAGGGGAGAGGAAAGAGGATGGGATCCAGGCTAGGTTTACAGGGAGCTAAAACTGGATTAGTAATATTTTATTTCTTTTTTTATAATTTTTAAAGAAGTTCTTATTTATTTATTTTGAGAGAGACAGAGAGTGAGCATGCACAGGAAGAGCAGACAGAGAGGGAGAGAGAGAATCCCAAGCAGGTTCCACACTGTCATCGCAGAGCCTGACTTGGACTGGAACCCATGAAACATGAGATCATGACCTGGGGCTGAAGTCAAGAGTCGGCTGCTCAACTAACTTGAGCCACCCAGATGCCCCAGTAATGTTTTATTTAAGTTGCATGGTGGTACATGGGCGTTTATTATATTATTCTCAACATGTTTTAGTATTTATATACCATTCATTTAAAAAAGCTCATCAAGAAGGACATTGGGGCTAGAGATCCAGATTTGAGGTCCAATCAGCATATATAAGAAAGGGCTATTCCATATAACTCCATAGACAAATATAATACTTGTTCAACAATGTATCTCAGCCTAGCATTGCAATATGTACATGGTCTGTGCAGTGTTCCCTGTTGGATATGGCGACATTCCCACAGAATAACACTGGGTCCATTTGGCCCACCATTTGGAAGCTCGATTCAAATCTGTCATATTCATTCCAGAATTCACAACATATCATAAATCAGCCATAATGGAATCCAACCCTTTCATAAGTCAGAAAATTTATCTTTGTATGATAACGAACATACCATTTTAAGAATTAAAATGCTTCAGAGTTGCAGCAAAGGAAAAAAGAGGAGAAGAAAGAGTTGGTGGTATCCTGCCCTAACGACCATCCCTAATGACTCAGACAAGCCATGTCACCTCTTGCCACGGGTGTAGTCCTTGAACAAGGGGAGGGCTGCCTGGCTCCCTGATCCCTGTGAACTTGCAGCTTGAAGAAGCTGCAATTCTGTGCATGTTGGAGACGGCAAACCCATTGGACCCTCTAGCACACTGGCAGGAAAGGGCTGGGTTTTGGTGGTGCTTGGTAGGACCGGAGAAAGAAATGTTGGGGCAGAAAGCTGAGGAGTCTGGGGAGATGGAAGGGGACTGATCTGAGGGACTTAGGCACTCACCAGCAGGGCAGGTCTGGCTGCAGCGGGGGCTGTGGAGGGGTGGGGAGGAGAGAAGGACAGAGGATAGCTCAGCTGTGGAGCCTGAGGCTTGCACACAGCACCGACTCACCAGGTGTAGACCAAGGTGCCCACTACAGAGAGGACCCACATGCTCTGACTGTGAATGGCTTTCTCATACTGGCACCGCAGGGGGCCCTGGCCCATGCCCAGGTGGTGAGAGAGTCCTCAGAGGACCACAGGCTGCAAGCGCCTCCCGGCAAAGCCTGGCTCTCCCTCACTGTGCTTGGGCTCACACAGCGAAAGGGTGGGATTTGAAAATGAACTGCCCTCAAAGTCGGGTAACTGACACCTACCCCAAGGCCAACAGACATTCTCTAGGCCCCTAAAGGAACCCTGGGCCCTGGGCACTATGTCCTCTGTGTCTCTACTTCTTATATTTAAAATCCCAAGAGAAGAATCTGATTATTTCCATCCCTGGCCCACTCAGCAGTGGGGGGAGGTCAGCCAGGGGCCAAGGACAGCAAGAGATGAACTGAGAAGAAAGCAGAGGAGAGCATCCACCCCCAAGGCAAATTAAGTACTGATTGTATTAGCTTCCCATTGCTGCTGTAACAAATTATCACAAACTTAGTGTCTTGAAACAATACAATTTTTTTCTCTTAGTTCTGGGGATCAGATGCCTAAGATTGGCCTTACAGGGCTAAAATCAAGGCGACATAGGGCTGGTTCCTTTTGGAGGCTCCACGAGAGAATCTCTTTCAGCTCTTCCAGCTTCTACAAGCTGCCTTGGCATTCCTGGGCTTGTAGCTATGTCACTCCAACCTCAGCTCTTGTTGTCATGTCTCCTTTTTCTCACTTTGAGCCTCTCCTTTTCCTCTTTCGAGGACTCTTGTGATTACATCAGAGCCACTCAGATAGTCAAGGATAATCTCCCCATCTCAAGGCCTTGAACTCCATCACACCTGCAAAGTTCCTTTTGCCACATAAGGTAACAGATTCACAGGTCCCAGGGATTGGGACGTGGAGATCTTTTGCAGGCCATTATTCAGCCGACCGCGACATAGTTGGCCTGTTGTAGCTTTATAAGAGCTGCAACCCTTTCCACCCTACCCCACCTTTCCTTGAGCTAGAGCGAAGGGGTTTCAGTTCCTTATAACTCACAGCTTGACTAAGACATCATCTTTCCTCTTAATTCCCTTTGGCTATTGCATTTCTTCTCCATTAGCCAGCATTTCCTTTTCATGCTTCCCGAATGCTCTCTCTCATCCAAAGAACTCCTACTCCAGGAC